AAACTGGAAGAAGAAACTGGAAGCTTCTGGCGTCGGCCAACGTTTCTCACAGGTCTTGGAAACCAAAAAATGAATGTGTCAATAGTGGACGCCACGGCGGATGCCTGGAAGACGCTTGACTGGCCCCCTTACGGCCTAAGTTGTCGTTGCTTCAATGATCCGGTCCAGTACTACTTACCGAGCGTCTGGGAGGTGGTCACCTGAAGCCCTCCCGTCGCCTCCTAGCAGAGAACAACGACCTAAACGAGCCACCGCCAAATGGTTTAACACCGATATATACGGCATCAAGCAAAAGAGACCTTGAGTTTGAACTAGGATACTCATTTAATGCACATGGTTATGACGGGAACTGTTCCGGCATTGCCGTTTTCGTTGCACCACCTCCACTCTCAGCACCAACCTGGCCAGCGAACACCTGCTGGGGAGCCAGTCGGGAGCGAATTGTTAGTACTACTATTTGGTCGCTCCCCCATTACGCATCCTTGGCATAACGATATCGCTTGGATGCAAAAGTTCCTCAAAAGGCGGCTCCACTTGGCGGTCTCTCAACAGAAGCGATCTCTCAGCGCAGCTGCTACGTTGGCCACCCGGATACTGACAGTGCTTCAAAGGTCTCTAGCCTGTGCAGTAGCGACGTCGGTGGGAGCGTGAGTGCTTCTGGCTGCACTATCTCCGTCGTCGGAGGGTTTGCTCCCCTTCCGACGGGGTGCATTCTTCTTCCACTAATTGTCCTAGCGGTCCCTCTCTGCTGTTCAGCGGTGGCAAGTCTGTCCCCCGTGGCTACGTCACCACCGAGCCTTGGGGATACCCCTCCATATGTGGCGCACACAATTGAACCGGCGTGCGCCTCTTCTACCGGGTTTTGTTCGACCAGCACCGCCGGTTGCTCCGCGAGGGAAGCTCGGGCATCAGTTGCTAGGCTTCTTACGGCTAGCACACGAGCTTGAGCCTCGAGGTTCACGCTCACCCTGCCGACGACGCTCAAGACAGGCTTTAGTCTCACCGACACGTTGTTGTGCCACTTACGCCACGGGGGCGATGCAGCACGCCACATGGACACACCAAATGGACACGCCAAACCCTCCTTGACATACGGTCTCGGTCAGCCTACGCGCCAGCGTAACATGGCGAGCAAGTCTGGTAAAACTCCGCTACTGCTTCTCTGGCGTAGCCTACTCCTGCTGCGTATTGCGACTTGGCTCCTTGACCAACCCTTGCTGGTCCTCCACATACTGCGTTAGCCACCGACGTGGCGGATCTTCACCCACCACGAACCTGCTAACCTGATCGTTATGCGCACGTACGGTTCTCCCCGGCGCTTCACATCTCCCGGCGGTGACCTGCGTCCTTCCAACCTCCGTAATCCTCATAGGAAGCGACCACCGCGTCGGGGTCCATGTAGGGGCGAAAGCCGCGCGGCGGCGCTGCCGTGTCCCCTCGTCCTCCTATGTCCTTGAAGTACGCGGTTCACGGCTGACGCCCGTACAGCGCTTCCGAGGTCACCCCGAGCTACCGTGTGACGTCGTGCCAGGAGTTCGCATAGTGGCTGCCCTCATGTGAGGGAGATTCCACTGCCCCTCGCGCCACGCAACTAGATGTCGGACTTCGCGCCACAGCCCCAGGTTGCCAAGGAGTAACGCTTTGAGCAATCCACGGCATTCCTTATTGAAGCTTTCAATAAGGATGGGCACCGAATCCAACACGGATGATTCAGGTAGGACGTTACGGACTGGACCACTCACTACAAGAGAATTGAATATTGCAGGCTCGGTTCCATCTGAGTGAGTGTCCTTCGGCGTCAAGATAGCGACATCAAGCGTACGGAAACAACGCAGCTTATCTGAAGCGGCCCGCGTATTAAAAGCTCCTTTCTGTGTAGGTCGGCTCTTGGACCACACCAAGTGCCTGAAGTGAGCACATGGCTACACTAGTGCACGTTTCCAAGAATCGTGAGACTGTTTTACTGTCTCACGATTCCTAGACACATGAACCAAAGTAGCCACGTGCCCATGCAGGCGTAAGGCGGACCACAACTACCGCAGCTGAATCGCCCGAAAATATTTGAATTGTAAAAACTTACGGGGCGGAAATTGTCAGGTATTACTTTTGTTTACGCTTCTTCGTTTTGAACAGGGAAGCAATATCTGGTGATGGTTTTTTTAATCGGGTTCCAGGGACAACTGGTGCCGCTGAGAATGACAATTTTACCGGTGCTTGTCCTTCCGAGATTATGGGTTCGATTGGAGAAACCACCCGCACCTCTAACCTGGCGCACGTCGACGGAACAAACGGCGCGAAAACAGGGACTGCTGTATCGTGTGTGTGACTTGCGTCTAATCCGTCAGCTGATGCGGGCGAATCCCCTAACTGTTCTGACTCCGGCTGCTCGAATATAGCTGGTTCTATTCCGGCGGGCTCTAATCCGGCGGGTTCTAACCTGGCGGGTTCTAATCGGGCTGGTTTCAAGTTGGTTTGTTCCAATTTGGTTTGTTCCAATTTGGTTTGTTCCAATTTGGTTTGTTCCAGCTTGGTTTGTTCCAACTTGGTTTGTTCCAACTTGGCTTGTTTCTCTAATTCTTTGAATTTGCGGTCCTCCACCTCATCTGGAGCGGCATACTTCTGTAATCGTTCTGCAGCAGCCTTTTCTCTGGCGTCTCGATCCTTGTCTATGTAAACTATGAACGGTCCCCGCGGATGGTCCCATTCTGCTTTGACCTGTTCTGTCTCCTCTAGATGCCGTATGAAGCCGTTGAGGGTAACCCAATGAGTGGCGTTCATGTGTACATGTTCCTTGTTGGCAATCATCTCGCAATATACAGAGTTAGCTAGGACACGCGCGCGGCAATATTTTGTCCTCATAAGTCGCATAAAGTCAGTTTCAAATTCCCGTGAGAATTCGTCTATATACTTGCCCGGTCGTTGGTTAAAGACAGACATCCTACGAACGTGGCTTTCGGATGCCATATGACACTTGAATCCGTTTTCATCTCGACATTGTTTCTCGCACATCTGGCAGTACCATCGTAGCCTCTGTAGACCCTTGCTTTTCATCCTGTTTGAGAGCCATTTGATAGTGCCTCTTTCCGCCTTGGCCATAAAAATCCGTCCCCCCTGGCGAATTCCTAGGTGATTAATTCCCCCTTATCTGTCCGGCCGAATTTCCCCGTGGTTATTCACAGGCGGTTTTTTTTTTAATTTTTGGAATGGAGGAAGATCAAACCTATCCGGGCGAGGTCATGAGCCACCGTGGGTGTTGTACTGGTCGACGTCGAAAGACCAAGAAGGTACTGGGCGCTGCTGCGGTGCTGGTCCTCCTCCACTCGATCCCCATTTACAAGCAACTGTCTTATAAGTTCTGCAGGAAAACAGACCCGTGCATTTTCGACCAGTCTAAAACGAATGCTAATTGGGTTAAGAACGCATATGTGACTGACGGTCAGAAGCCTCTTAATCCGAGTGACCTAGGTCTCGACCAAGCCCAAATTCTCACAATACCCATCGAAAACGATTTCAACAGCCACAAGGGCTTCTTCCTACCGCAAGACGACTCTGCAAATGCCCCGACTATCATCCTCTTTTATGGCATCGACTCCAGTAAGCCCACCCCACAAGCACCCCCCCTTTCCGGGCGGCCCCCCCTTTCTGGACAAAACAGCAACCTCCCCCCCTGAGACAACCCTCCTGCCACTATCTGAGATATAATGTGGCCTTCTTTTAGACGTGGGCAAATCGTTTGGCTCGTTGGCGAATGCGTTTCAGCATCTGAGTGCGAATGTAGTCTGTGTGGATTATCGTGGTTTTGGAGCATGTCGTACAGGTGTGGTGGGTGAGTCTACGTTGAAGGAGGACGCACGCCGTGTAGTCGAGTACGTGCACAGTTCGTTGCCGGTCGACCGTGAGCGGATCTTCGTGTTTGGTCATGGGTTGGGTGCGATGGCTGCATTGGAAGCTGTGAGTCATCCGGCCGTGCGTGGAAAGGTGCGTGGCGCAGCATTGTTGAACCCGCAGACGAACGCAGTGGATGCAGCCTCGTTGCGTGTGCCATTGCCCCAATATTATTTGGACTGGTGCTGTCCGGAGAAATTCGACAACGTGGCATTGCTCCAGAATACAGATGCACCTCTCCTCGTTGTCTCAGGGTCTGACGACCGTGTCGCACCACAACCCATGACGGCAGACATCTGGCGTAACGCCCGTTTCAACTGCAGCAAACGCGGTGTCGTACTAAACGGCGCTGGCCATGAGAACCCCCTTCTCTTCACACCACACATGCACTCCCTCCGAGCCCTCTTCAAATCATTCCTTCATACACCCGAAGAGTACCGAGACGTACACCCGACGCACTGGCTAGACCTCACCGAAGACGCACTCCGCTACACTGGCTCCCACGAAGCACCACCCACTGTCGTAGACATCGCAACCACCCAGTACCTCAAACCCGCCTGGATCTCAACCAAAGAAGCCGTACGTTCCGCCACAGCCTGCGCTAATGATACTCTCGTCTCCCAGTGGCAAAAGTGGATCGCGCAACGCGACCAACCTGCCGTGGAAGAACCCGGAAAAGCGGCACCCACCCCAAAGGCGGCTCCCACCCCAAAGGCGGCTCCCACCCCAAAGGCGGCTCCCATCCCAAAGGCGGCACCCACGACAAAAGCGGCACGGAAGCCAAAAGTGGCACCGAAGCCCAAGGCGGCACCCACCACCCCTGCACCGAAGCCAGCACCAAAAGCCACTCTGCAGCAATGTGCACTGGCACCAGAAGTGGCGACGGCAGTCTCGACGGCACTGCAAGGGGCAGCAGGGCCTAAAGCGACCCGAGAAGTGGCACCCGAAGTGGTCGCGAAAGTGACACCGGAGGCGGTAGCGGAAGCGCCTACGGAGGTGGTAGCGGAAGCGCCCACGGAGGTGGTAGCGGAAGCGCCCACGGAGGTGGTAGCGGAAGCGCCCACGGAGGTGGTAGCGGAAGCGCCCACGGAGGTGGTAGCGGAAGCGCCCACGGAGGTGGTAACGGAAGCGCCCACGGAGGTGCTAGCGGAAGTGCCGACGGAGGCAGTAGAGGAAGTGCCGACGGAGGTAATAGAGGAAGTGGTACCGGAAGGGGGTGTTGTACGAGAAGCGCCAGCGCCTGAAGTGTCAGCGGCATTCCAAACGGCACCAGCAGTGGAAGCGGAATTGGCGCCGCTAGAGGGAGTGGAGATGGTCACCGTAGAGCCACAACTAGTTGTCGAAGCCGGAGCCGTCCCCCAAGTAGGAGTCCCCCAATCGGACGAGACAATTCAAGACGAGTATGGAACTGAGCCGGTTTATGTACCCGAGCCGGTTTATGTACCCGAGCCGGTTTATGTACCCGAGGCAGATCTTGAGCTGGAGCAGCAGTGATGCTGAATCGTGGCTATTGAAGTTAAGACTCTATACGACCTCTTCCTTTATACAGTCTTTCACGACCTCTATACAGCAGCCTCCCTTCCATAGAATTCCGTGCAATTCAATGCAGTCCATCTTCCTTCTGGATCGAACTCACTCACACACACGAGTAGTGCTTTTTTAGTTAGCGACATTGTAGATTAGCAACCTTGCGGACTGGCAACCTTGTAGGTTCTCAGCCCTGTAGATAAGTGGTCTTGCAGTTTGTTAGCGTGGTCGATTGTCAGTGTCGAATGTCAGTGTGGGTGGTGGTGGCGGCGCCAAGATTCCTGCCTGGTGCTAGTGTGAAGTTGTCTTGGGTCTGAGGGTATCTTTGAGAACTTCTACGAAGGTTTCCTTGTCGGTGTAGCCGGCATCGGTGACAAGGAGTTCTTCAGTGAACCAGAGGCGGACGGTCTCTGGTTGTATTTGTACAGGTTGGTGTTGAAGTGCGTCCATGAGATCTCGATCGGAGATATAGCCGTCATGATCTGTATCGACGATATCGAACAAAGACTGTGCGATTTGAGTATTTTTGTCATCGCCGGTGGGGTGGTGTCCGTAGGCGAGGGCAACCATGCCGCCAATGAACTGTTGTTCAGTAAGGTTGCCTGCGTTGTTGAAGAGTGATAGACAACTGTCGGGCACATTTAATACCTGCGCCACCCGGCTGCCATGGCATCCGCTGCGTGCCAAGTTCCAGACATCGCCAACGCCACTAGCACTGCCTGGGTTCCTGTCGTTATTCCGTCCACTATGTTGCATCAATTTATGAAGGGTCATGAGTTGTTCTCGTTGTACTTGAGGCATGGCGGCGAATAAGTCGAATTCTCGGTAGTGGCGGAGTTCCTCGACCTCGTCGTCCAGATAGCTGAGGTAGGGAATGGTCTTCATAATGGCTATCAGAGTTTTGCGGTCGCGGTACTTTGCCACTGTGATCTGGTCATCTAACTCATGCACCACGTCTCCTTTAACCCGGAACTCCAAGCTTGTAATGAATGTCACATTCGTCACTAAGTTCGGCCAAATGAGCAGAAAGGAAAGCAGGCTCAAGGCACCAGGAAGCACCAAGACCGCCTTGTCATTCCAATTCGGCATGTCGCGCTCCCAATAGGGATTGAACAACCGTGTTGCGGAAAACGCAAGTCCTGCTACCTGCAAAAACATCAACAACTGCATTAGATTGCGCACGTAGTTAGTGTGGCCAAATAATAACAGAGAATCCTGTACGTTGCGGATGCCCAACACACCCACCGACTTAGAAGCACCCACCGGATGAATAGGGTGCCCGGCCCCTTCCCCAGACACGGCAGCAACAGTAGGTTCCTCGGCGGCTACGAGAGGTGCGGCAGACTCGTCCGCTACTGCGTCTTCGTCAGAACCGAAGAAGGAGACGTTGTTGACGATGTGCAGGCGTGAATCGAGAGGCACTTCTTCGGGCATGCTGGATAGCGCCTGTTCCAAGGTGTTGGATTGCAGTATACATTCTTTGGTTCGCACCACAGAGGGCGTGATTTGCTCCACGGCATTGGACGTTTGTTCCCAGAGCAGAAAGAGTGTAATGAGGACCAAGACGCTCAGTCCAGTGACGATGTAAGTGGTCAACTCCTTATCTGCCACTTGTAACAATGGGTATGTGAGAAGGACAATGAACCAAGAAGAAATCCATGTCGGGGCATTGATGGCAACCAAAGAGGTGAGAAGCTGTACATGACACTTGTAAATGTAAGCATGGAAAGGAAAAGAATCAGGATGTTTAGTCTTGTACCGCAAGAGAGATGGAGGGTTGAGGAAGCGCTGCCGCAGCGCCCAATATCGAACTATCGACTTGCCCACTGTATTGTTCGCCACCTTCCATTTGAATGTAGAATACTTCATCTGGTCAGTCTCTGTCCAGATGCGGCGCTTCCTTGCTATACTCATAGCTATATACAATCCGACAAGAACATATAAACACATGGCCAAGAAGATACCAAATTGGATATCTTCTATCAATTCCCCCAGGGTAGTCGGTGCAAAATTAGGATTCTCACCCTCCTCCGATAACTCGGACTTGCCGACACGCTCCAACTCACTCTCGCCCAGCATCATATCGTTTAAATGGCTTACCCAGCCAAAGTATATCGAAACGAATAAACTGAAACTCAGAAAACCAAGCACAGTCAATACCCGATAGAAGGCATTCAGAAACACCAGCCAATCCTTGCTCCTATGAACCAACCAATGATGCCCGTACTCAAAGAATAAAGTCAACACCAGAATCACTGCCATTATACACACCTTCGAAAACAAAATCTCTTAGCTTCTCAACTCTGCCGCTCACTATCAGATTCGCCTTTAACGCCTCGTGATGGTGCGCATCATGGTGATGCGCCTCGTGACCACCGTGCTCGTCATGACCTCCTTCCGCATCCTCATTTTGAATCAACAGACTGCACATCCACATGCCGATCTACTGCAATCCTGAATTTCACACACGCGCTCGCACTAATCCTCTTCTATTACAACGTTATATGCTAAGCGCATCAACCCGGCTTACGCGCAATGTAGAACACCAAACAGATAACCAAAACAGACGTAAAAAACGGTTTGGTCGCTTTCGCAAACACGCGTGTGCAATGTCAATTACCAACTGTTTCTTCCAGTCCTGCTCCTCAGCACTGGCAGTCTATGCAACCCTAACAGTGATATGTGCGTCATCGCCTGTTTGCGTGACATGGTCTACTGTAGGATGGTCGCAGTCCAGGGAAATGTAATCATGACTCGACAGCTGAATGAGCGACAGCTGAATGAGCGACAGCTGAATGAGCGACAGCTGAGTGAGCGACAGCTGATTGAGCAACAGCTGACTGGGCAACCGCAAGAGACGCAACTGATGAATCCGCGGCGTAGACTATTTCATGTGTCGTCCATGCAACCTTATCTAGTCAAAGACCAAATAACTGAAGAAGTGCTACAGGATGCAGCGGGTTTTGGCGCTCGAAATCCATCGTTTCGTCCCGGAATCCATGAGGAGTATCCTCCGGGAGTGCAGGCTGCGAGTAGGTGGTGTGATGATGCAAGCAGCCGCTGTATTACGACATGTGTTCTCCGAGTGTTCTCATGAATAAATAGAAGGCACTCATTAATAACTATGTCGGCGTCATATGTTGTTGACGCCATGCTGATAGATAAACACATCGGTATGAACATGACATGACACGACATCGTGTGCGCAGTCGAACTGATCCAATCCAACTGTGTTGGATTGTCACCGTTTAGTTATTTAAACTTTTATTAATGACTATATTTAATGGAGAGTGACATCACTACGATTGCAGCACACAGGGATGGAGCAGAGACGAAGGATGGAGCAGAGACGAAGGATGAAGCAGAGATGAAGGATGAAGCAGAGATGAAGGATGAAGCAGAGATGAAGGATGGTGGCCGGTCGGCATTAAATTGCGCCTTGGTTGAAGTTCCCGAAGACTTTGGCTGCGAGTCGTGGAGTATGAGCAAGCTGCGAGGGCGGTCAGTCCGTCCTGTGTGCGTCTTGCCTTTGATATATTCGAATGGCCTATACCTGTGTCCAGCACCGTGGTCCAAGTACTTAAAACCCGGTAGTCGTAGTCTTCTTCTAACCCAGAGAACAGTTGCCCCCTGCGGCCCGTGTCTCTGTCTGGCCCCGGAACTTGTCGTGTTACTGTTGCGGAAGCGGCGAAGATTCCTCTGTCTCAACCCCGAAGCTCAGCAACCACTTGAAGCCTCCAACCTGCTCTGCGGCCACGATGCAGACTTCCTCACCCCACCCGCCAGCAAGAGGCAGTTCGCCTCTTGGATTGAGTTCGTGAGCAAACATGAGTTCGTGAGCAAGCATAAAATACCCCCTCAGGATCCCTTTCCCCCATCTCTTACTGACCAATCCCGTACCGGACCCGGACTTTGTGAGACCGGATTCCTCCGGACTGGGTCGCCGAAAAAGACGGCGGACGGAACAGAGAGAACCAGCAGTCCGTTCTTGACTCCTCCGCGAGGGTTCTGGACGTCGGTGGTTAACCACGTTGCTCCGTCGGCAGACACGATTGTGCATGTTGCCATCAACTTGGCGCAATTGGGCTTCGAATTGAAACGCGATTTCGCCGACTGGTCGCCTCAAAAGGTGCCACCACACGCGTCTGCCAAACTCGAACAACTTACACCCTTAGCCAACGGCTCCTCTGTCTGCGGTCCACCCCGCTTCACTCAGTTGGCGGCCCAGCCGACTTGCGACGGCGCTTGCTATACATCGTCGACCAAGTCGGTGTGTCTGTTTGACTCCGTGCTGTGGGTGAGGAAAAGAGCGAGCGACCCCTGGCTAAAAATAGTGTGTGTTGACGCCGATGCGCATCCCGCCGCCTGCCTCGCCGGTCTCGATCTGCCCTGCATTGTCGCGGTCATGGCCACACCGGGCTCGGTGCAACTTTACAGTGTGCAGGACCGGACCTTCGCTAGCGTAGAGCTGGCGAGGAAACGCCACCTCAAGACACACTGGGATCGATGAGGCCGATTCAAGACCTGGGAGCGCTAGGGCTGGCGGCTGAAGCTGGGTGGGTGGTAGGAGAAGTTGGTTGGGTAGTGGGCAAGAAGAGCTAGTCAAGGACTGTGGGAGTAAGGAGTTAGATAGAAGTGGTGGATAAGAGGATAAGGTTGATTGTGTGCTAAAAATCTATACGGTGGACGCTGCCGGGTATGCCAAGGAGTTGGTCCAGGCATTTGCCGGCGACGAGACTGGGGTAGATGGCGGGATCCATGAATGCTCGGAACTCGGGGAAGCCGTAGGTGAGTGTGCGGCTGACGTTTTTGATATCGTCAGCAATGATGGCGGTGGCTTTGACCAGTGCCTCATCATCCCAGGCGCACATTTTACGGCTGATGGGGGGTGTAAGCTGCATGAGCAGGTTGAGGAAAAGTCCGTCACTGTGTCCGCAATTTTGGAGTTCGTCTTCGAAAGGCGAGTCAGAAGTGGGGAGTGCGGCGCACACGTTTGGTACCTGCACGGAGCCAAGGTGGTTGACTTCGGCAGAGTTGACTACGCCGCAGAGTCCGGCCACAACAGTCCTTAGTGAGACATCGGTCATGTTTACCAAGACAACAAAGTGGTTGGTAGTGACGGGGAGTGTGGGGTCTTCGCGCGACACGCCCGTTTGGCCTTCATTGTCTAATCTTCGTCTTGCCGCTCGCTGTAGTGCGTATCTCAAAGGCATTCGAATGAGCTGGACCTCCTCGTCTAGAATCAAGTGCGGGAGTACTGCTGTAATGTGTGCCAACAGTCGATCGGCCAGTTTGGGATCTTGTCTTTTAATCATAAAGATGTTATCCAGTACTTTGACTACGACCCCTGCGGCAGCGACTCGGAAACGTATGTCCACCTCACCAAAGCAAAACTGTTTGACGAGTTTGTGCAGCACGGCATTTACTACAGCTCGACCTTCGCGATTTAATTCTTTCTTCTTTTTTAGCTGTCGTACCATGAGGTTGAAAACAACTTCAGTTAGTAGTAATGCAACTTCGGGACTGGAGCTCCACTCGTGTAGCATGTCGTGTAATAGTAAATACTGGCAGCGTTTGATCTTGTTGCTTGTGAGACTCCACTTGCTTGTGGGTGTGCGAGTAATGCGCATTGTGGAGCTGGACGAGTTGGGTTTCACTGCGAGCACGCATCGACAACCGGCGCGAGCGACTTCAACGTTTGGTGTGGACTCCATGAGCAGTAGTACGTCCTTATGGGAGCATGCGAAGTGTCTTTGCCGTTGAGCCAACTCGGTTAACATGCCTAAGCCTTCGGAAATAATCGCCGGTGGCTGACCGGCCAGTAACTCGAGAGCCGCGGCCGAAGAATGCGCCAAAGGCACTTGCACGAAGGCGCGGACCACCACATCGGTCGGGAGACCCTGACCCAGCGCTACCTTGGCCCAGCTGCGCTGCATCTCTTCCCATAAGCTCCCCGCCTCCTTCACCCCATTTAACAACCATACCATCTCCGCCGCCAATGCAGCCAAATATTGCCGTGCACGGCGCGATCCCGTGCTCTTGAAACAAGGAACCAAACACCGGTGCAACACCGCCAACGCACTACCAAGCGACAACTTACGCAACCTACCTTCTTCTCGTAACAATGTCACTCGCCGTAGCACACCGCGCAATACCGTTGCACACAAACACAGACGACTTGACGACTTAGCCACCTCCAATACCCGAGCACCCACCACCAACAACGGCGCCACCCACTCTGTCAACAATTGCTTGTCCGCCACACTCGACGGAACGGCAGCGCAAAACACACCCGCAATCGTCAACTGCTGAATCGGGTCCGCACTCTCGCCACCAGCCGCCAACAGTTCACTTAACAACGCCTGGTACCATGCCAAACCGTCCGACCGAGCAACTTCCACGTTATTGTGGCCGCCATTGTGTGCGCTCGATTTCAACACGTTCGGCTTCAGCACGGTCGATTTCAACACACTCGACTTCGGCGCGCTGGGTGCGTTCGACTTTGGAGACTTGTCTTCGTCTAGCAGGGCGGCGAAGGTCATACAGACTTCTGTCGGATGCAGTTCCGGCGGTCGGAGGAGACCGAGGAGGTGGTACACGGAACAATTGTGGAGGTTCTCGGAGATCTTTTGGGGCCCCACAGCGTCCAGCAGGTCAGCCAGTGGCTGTGCCTCTGGATGATGGCAAAGTTGACGCACGTAGTCGCAACAGGTTCCCAGGAAGTTCCCTGAACCCTTCATCGCTTGGTCAAGCCGTTCAGGGAACGGCTGCAGGGCATTGCCGTACTCGTCGTTGAGACCAAGCGTTTCGCAACGCGTAACCGTTTGCTGCAACGCTGAGAACAGTAAGTTTGTCGCCGACCGGATCCGGAAGTCCGCGCATTGCGTGCTCTGCTCACTCACCGTCTCGAACAAAATTCGAGCACACAAACGCCATGCCGGCCGCGTGCTTTCTGGCGGCTCCGTCAGCGCCGCCGCCGCCCCGAACCACGCGGTCTGTTGACAACAGAAACTTCGCAGCGCGTTCAACGCGTGGAACTTCGCCGCAGCAATTGCCTCAACCTGTGCCGAGTCCATACACTGTGCCGAGTCCGTACACTGTGCCGAGTCCGTACACTGTGCCGAGTCCGTACACTGTGCCGAGTCCGTACACTGTACCGAATCCATACACTGTGCCAAATCCACACTCCGTTTAAGGTCCGTATTAGCCAAAGTGTCCTCGGCTTTTGGGCCTACTGCATTCAGGCTCATCAGCACTATCAGTGCT